TTCTCCCCCGGCTATATTTGCCCCCCCAAACTTGCTATTTACCGGTTACCATGTTTTCGCGTGCATGGTTGGCCTTCCGCTGACTTCCTCCTCGCTTGTCCTGCTACATTTCCTCATTCTTTCTTTCTCTCTCTCTCCCTCCCTCCCCCCCCCCCTCTCTCTCTCCCTCACCTCTTCCTCACATAGCCGGGGGCGCGACACGACGAAACTTCCTGGAAAAATCGTTGCAACATCCCGCACGACGCAACAAACGGGACTGTCACGTGCGTCGAAGGGCCTCATTTCCGCCATTATGACCGCCTACAACACTCACTGCGCTCTAGAAGTCAGCCCGGACGACGTGTGGTTGACGATCCTCTCCCAGTTCTGCGCATACGTCAACAAGAACGCCGAAGGGTTGCGCGACAGGGTGGTTGAGCATGAGGGCAAGAAGGGGCTGACCGTGGAAGGGTACGGGTCGTTGGAAACGGCCGACTATGCGAAGTTGATCAAGGATCTCTTAGGACAAATCAGGCAGAACATCAAGTCCCCCGAGCTGGCGGACTGGTTCCGCCCTGGGTTCTCTACTTCTACGGAGACAGACGAGGTGTGCGCGGCGGCAACAGCTATGGCGAGCCTGCAGGCATACTTCGAGCATACAATGTGCCTGGCGTGCAGCATTCCGTCGGTGACCCTGATGGGCACAGTTGAGGACTGGGAGCTGCTACGGGAGAAGATCGAGCGAATGCTTGAGTTCGAGGTGCTGGACAACCCGGAGGGCAAGGTGATGGAGGTGTGGGTGGGGTACCTGAGGAAGGTGTGCGACGGGTTCGTGGAGTCGGCGGAGCACCCGGACAGCGCAGCGACGGTCGACTTCTGGGCCAAGGTACATATGTGCCTTTACGCCGAAGTAGAGTGGGTGCACAGCACACTTCACGGGTGTGAAGAAACGTCGGTTATCGTTTCTCTTTGGAACTGCCTTGATTTACACATTCTGTGGCCTAAAGAGCGAGACTTGTTCCCCGTGTCACACGTTCCACACGGCTTGTAGCGCCTCCGCCGTATCCTTATGTCTCCTCTTCCGAAACACACGCAATATCTCCCTCCGAATACGACCAGACGGGACGAAACTGTTGTACAATATAGCAGTCTCGTTCTGAGCCTCTCAATGGTACACACAAACATTCAGAAAAACACCCCGTGCTGAAGCCCATAAACGCTACACGGCAAAGCTGGCTCCAAATGGGGGGCGTCTTCAACAAGGGAGCCCTCCGTCGCAACGTTTCCCGTATACGCCGCCTTCGAGAGAAACGGGGTGGGTGGGCTGGAGGAAACTACGCCCGAACTTCAACGTTGATCGCTGCTGATCTGCTATGCCGCGCGACCCTCAACAGTGGGCTGCGTGCTACACACTGTGTATTCCTCTCCTCAGCACGTTGCCCTTGGGTCCAGTGGACACGTGTCTGTCAAACCCTCGGTGCGGGAGCAGCGAGGCAGTAAAATGAGAACGCCTGTGAGACTTTTCTCTTTTTGGGACCCCAGAAAACCGAACCGAGGCATCCCAACCAACAAGCCTCCCTGGCGGACAAAAAGAACCCAAAATTACTCGCAGACCTGGGAGATGTTCCGAATTTTCCGTTCACAACAAACTCCAGTTTATTTGGTATTCGTGGACAAACGTACTTTGTACTTGTGTAGGTGGGCATGCTGCGATGAAAATATATATTTGGCGGGTCAGACAGTTCCGTCCTCAGTCCACAAGAGACGCTCGGCTTACATGCCGAACGGGTCCGGAGACAACAAACGTCAAAAAAAAAAAAAAAAAAAAAACGGTCGTGGCTAACTTTCTTGTTTGATCACCTCCGTTGAACACAGGTTGCTATGCAGAGCTGTGTTTCTCAGTCCGATATTGCTGGTGTTCTTGAAACTTTGAGGGTGGTTTCTTGACGGAATTTCAAATGCGGTGCTTATTGACTGCAAGTCCGATGATTCATGTTTAGTGGCAAATACACCTGGACTATTCGCCTCTTGAGATGTACATTACGCAAACTGCGTTGGCATTATCTCAAAACCACAGTCATGAACGTGCTTAGGTTGTTTGTTGCAGGTCTTCTCTGACCGATATTTTGGCTCGGGAGTAACGTTCACGACAGGCTGGGTGTACACCTTCTCGTGCTTCGACAAAGACGGCAACTTCATCGGGAACACAAGGGATGGCGGGGAGTTCCCACTCGTTACTTCACTTTGCCACAACATTGTTTCGTGCCCTGTGGCCATCGACGACAGTGGATATGAGTACGACGCCACCTTGTTTACAGGACAGGTGGCCTATAGGGCAGAACGAGGTGCCAAGGGGGGATATCCGACCATCCGTCCGCGCAACGACTGGTGTCTGGCCGTGGCGGTGAAATGAATCTGGCTGCCGCATGCAGTCTGTATTGATCTGCATGGATGAGTTTCGTGGAAGATGTCGACGGTAGAGAAGCACCATTCGATATTTAGGGATTTGAGAATTGTTGTCACGCGTACGTGAGCAACATGCCTCCGGGTTTCCTTTGGATTGTCAGGGGTTCGCTCTGTCAAGAGGAGCAAATAACCCTCCACATGTCGATGGGAAGCACCTACTTTTCAGCAGGAAGAGGATGATCTCCAGGTGGGAAAATATGTGCTGATGCACAAGTCTGCATCGTATTGTCCCGGAGTAGGTAACCAAGACCGTAAGGTAGGTGATAAACTGTGGGTAGCGACGGTTGCCTGTTGATGAGAGAAGCTTTGAGACTGGCACAGGGAAAATGAGCATGGTCTAGTGCTTGTGTCCCGAGCTCATATCTGTACTCCGGAATGTGTGGCTCTGGTTGGGGTGATGAAAACACCAGTCAATGGAGGGTGGATCGTATTCCTTGTTGATGTATTGATATATTCATCGAGTGTCCAGTGTGGTCGCCCCAGTGCCGAGCGGGACCCGTTCATACTGTACCGCGATATCCGTATTTTCACTTTGCAGTAATTAGTACACCTTCACTATAGTGCCGGCCCGCTCGTAAGAAACAACCTCGTAAGCATTCGGGCCTCACAAGACTTGTGCATATGTGAGAAGAAGGTCATAAGGAACTGAACTCATTTCATGGTCGACAAGAAGATGTGGAGAACCGAGAAACCGCACAATACAGACCCCGCAATGATAAGAAGCACAGGGGTTTGTTTGTGGTTGGGCGTGAGGAGAAGAATTGACCTCTGACCCCTTGTGACAGCTCGCCAGCGATGTCGACCTCGACCCCGATGAGGACACCATTGCCATGCAGCTTCCAGACGGGTTTCGTCGTCAGGAATCCTCTCTGGCGAAGCTAGACAGCGCGCAAAAAATTCGCGTTGTTGTGTTAAGAGTCTTGGCTCGTCGTGGTTCCTGAGGTGTAGATCAGTTCCGCGGCTACCCCACAGACGAACACCGTGGTGTTGGCATGCGCTCGAAGAAAGCTCCACTATCATAGGGTGAGCTTGCCTCTCAAGATGCGCGTACCGTGTAAACCTCGAGGGAGATGGAGTGGTAGGAACGGAGATCGAGCAATAGACGTTTGCTACGATTGGGCAGCACGCCGACAGGGTGACAAGGGGCAGATTCCCGACGTTCGCAACAAAAAACCGGGGTGGTGAGGATTGGTACAACACTTCGGGACCACTTGACGATCGAATTTCGACGGGGGCGGAATCTCATTTGTCCGCCCTCCTCCCGAACGATCACGTATATAGAATGTAGTGCTTGCGCGACTCCCTAGCGGCAGGTTGTGTGGCTGAACGCTTGTCGCGACAACAACATGTAGGCAACAATCGAAACGAAAAACTAATAAAAGCTCCTGTGTGACCTTCCTCCTGTGTGACCCCGGCTGACACGTCAGGTACATACTACGCCGATAGGCCTGTAAACTGGCGCCATAAACGATGGAACGAACACGCAAACCTATGTACAACACTATATGCTGTTGCCGTGCATGATGGGCCATGCGACCATGTTGTAACTTATCAGCAACATGTTGATTGCTTCGGCCCTCTCACGAGTGGTCTTTGCGAAGCATATTTTGGAGAGCCCAGGTTTGTCCGAGAGAAGGAGTCGGTAAACACAGAGCACTTTGTTTCCCATAAAATGCCGAGCTTGCTGCAAAAGTAACTCCGGTTGGTGTAGCATAGTGCTAATCGTGTAGAAACATTTTAAGAAACAAGGGTTGCTGGGGAGCGTGGACGAAGCCACGGCCGTTGGGGCGTGGGTGCTGCTAGATGTTAGAAAGGCTTACCCATTAGGCTACTCAGCGGCTGACTGAGTAGTCTAATGGGTAAGCCTTTCTAACACTAAAGGTGGACCAGGAGGAGGGAGTCGGGAAGTCCCGGAGGGCGACAACCCCCAATATTCGCCACGCCGAGCTTTCGGATAATTCTGCATGATAAATGTTTGGTGTTTCTTTCGTATTCTTACACAGAAACAAAAAGAAAATCAGGAGGATGCGACAGTCAGTCCAAAGGAATACGCTGACTGAGTAGTCTAATGGGTAAGCCTTTCTAACACTAGAGGTGGACCAGGAGGAGGGAGTCGGGAAGTCCCGGAGGGCGACAACCCCCAATATTCGCCACACCGAGCTTTCGGATGATTCTGCATGACAAATGTTTGGTGTGTCTCTTGTATTCTTACACAGAAACAAAAAGAAAATCAGGAGGATGCGACAGTCAGTCCAAAGGAATAAGAAATGCCGACTTCGGCTGGTCCTTCGACGTAAAATGAGGGAGTGAGCTTCAACCATACTTTGACGTTTCTTATCTCCGGGCTATAGAAGCCGAAATCAAACAATTTGACTAGTCAGCGCTGACTAGTTTAATGGTTTGATTTCGGCTTCGAAGGCTGTACTGCTCTGTTGTTTCATTGAGGACAATGATGAAGCAGTAATCCACACACAATGAGAGGTAGGAAGTTTCGACCTCGCCCAACACTAAAACCGATATATTGCCTGTTGGTTGGTTCATAGAGGAAACACCTGTAGCCGCAAGGGTTGCCGACAAACTAGCGGGTGTAGCGTGAGTCGGATGAAGGAGAGGTACACTGCTGCTGGCTGCTGCACATCTCCATATATATATACCATCACTCCTCCCGCACATGATTTACTTTGCACAACTTGGCAATACCTCAACACTCCCCGTGTTATATTTTGCTTCACTTCGCGCATAATCCGAGTTTGACAAAGTAGTGCCTGAGACCTCACAGAGGTGCGAGAGCTCTCACCGGGTGTCTCCGTACAGCGAGACAGCAGGTGCCGAGAGACTTGCGATAGATCTCATGGGGTGTTCGAAGTACAAAATGAGAGGAGGCGTTGCTCCGGTTCCTGGGGACGAGTCTGAGGAACGACGCTCGCGACGCGCAGACCGTTCTGAAGCTGCACTTGCAGACACCTCCCGCCTCTACTGCTCACTCTCCCACTACTACCTCCTACTGCTGTTTACAGGCTCGCGCGTCATCATCAACCCAACCCCCAAGAACATGGCAACCTCAGCCCCCGCGTCCGGAACGGGTGTCGAAGTGAAGCACGTGACAATCTCGCCGGCAAGCTCAAACCCCAAGCTGGAGTTCACACGCAATTTCGAGCAGGTCTTCAAGCCCTCATCATCGCTGCGCGGCGCTTTCGAGCACCACGCCGCGTACAAAGCAATTTTCAGAACGGAGGAGGGCAGGGGGTTTAGAAGGTGCGCATGACATAGTCTTTCCCGTCTTTGTTTAGCGTGTACCGCGTACAGCGCTAGACTTCAACACCTTGGAAGAGCTTGTGTTGTTCCGACCGCCCATAGAACAGCGTCACCGACATGCGCACACAATGAACGTTTACCACCCGAACAGGGGGGAATGACGGCCGTGCGTGCCGCGTGCATTCACCTTCCTTCCTCTTATTGCCTCCCCATTTCTCCTCTTCCTTTCCCTAACACGTCTCTTTTACTCTTTCTCTTTATCTGTCTCTCTCTCCCTCCCTCAATAGCCGAGAGCCCGACACGACGAAACTTCCTGGAAAAATTGTTGCAACATCCCGCACGACTCAACAAACGGGACTGTCACGTGCGTCGAAGGGCCTCATTTCCGCCATTATGACCGCCTACAACACTCACTGCGCTCTAGAAGTCAGCCCGGACGACGTGTGGTTGACGATCCTCTCCCAGTTCTGCGCATACGTCAACAAGAACGCCGAGGGGTTGCGCGACAGGGTGGTTGAGCATGAGGGCAAGAAGGGGCTGACCGTGGAAGGGTACGGGTCGTTGGAAACGGCCGACTATGCGAAGTTGATCAAGGATCTCTTAGGACAAATCAGGCAGAACATCAAGTCCCCCGAGCTGGCGGACTGGTTCCGCCCTGGGTTCTCTACTACTACGGAGACAGACGAGGTGTGCGCGGCGGCAGCAGCTATGGCGAGCCTGCAGGCATACTTCGAGTACACAATGTGCCTGGCGTGCGGCATTCCGTCGGTGACCCTGATGGGCACAGTTGAGGACTGGAAGCTGCTGCGGGAGAAGATCGAGCGAATGCTTGAGTTCGAGGTGCTGGGCAACCCGGAGGGCAAGGTCATGGAGCTATGGGTGGGGTACCTGAGGAAGGTGTGCGACGGGTTTGTGGAGTCGGCGGAGCACCCGGACAGCGCGGCGACGGTTGACTTCTGGGACAAGGTACATGTGTTCTTCTAACAGTAGAGTGAATGTAGACACATTTCACTGGCGTGAAGAAAACGCCACGCTTATGTAAGTGGATGTGCTGCGATGAAACAACTTGTCTGGTGGGCCAGACTGCTCCTTCCTCAGCCCACCAGAGACTCTCAACTAGATGTAGATGCAATACTGCTTGGCTTTGTAGCAACCCATATTGTTGAGATTCTCACAACAGAGTTCGGTAGTTCATTTTACTGGTGCACGCGTGATGATGGGCTACTTGCGTCTTGGGATAAACATCGATGCCTACTCCGCCGGCTTTCTCTCAAAACCGCATTCCGCGTGAACTTTCTTCGGTTGTTTGTTTCAGGTTCTCTCACACAAGAATCGGGGCTCGGGAATGAACTACACGACAGGCTGGGTCTCCGCGTTTTCGTGCTTCGACAAAGACGGGAACTTCATCGGGAAGAACATGAGCATGGGCGGGGAGTTCCCTCTCATTAGGGATAGCGCACTTTGCCACAATGTTATCTCGTGCCCTGTGACCATCGACGACAACGGGCATGAGTATGACGCTACCTTGTTTACAGGCCAGGTGGCCTTCAAGGCAGAACAAGGCGCCGAGGGGGGGCATCCGACTGTCCGCCCGCGTAACGACTGGTGTCTAGCCGTGGCGGTGAAATAGAGAGGTTGACGTGATGATGATTCGGGTGAAGGTCGCCACACCTATGCATACGTCATGAGAGCTTTCGTGTTGTACACAGCACGTGCCGTGATTCTTCGGATTGTTGTTTGTTCCCTATAGTGAATAGGAGGTACTTGCAAACCCACCACATGTCGATGGCAAGCACCTACTGCAGTAAGAGATTGGGGGCCAGGTAGATATTTTTTTTGATGCAAGACTCCGCATCGTAAAGTCTTGGAGTGGGTAACCAAGACCGTGAAGTAGGTGATGACTGTCGGTTAGACGGTTGCTGAGGGTGTTGGGAGAAAAAGCAATTGCCGATGAATGAAATTTGTTTAGTTGTTGTCATCTCGAGCTCGTCCTGTTGCAGTCACTTCACACCAGGTGTAGCTGTCCCTCAAGAGGTTCGACGACAAGGTAGATGCCCCCGGAGACGAAATACCGGGTATTTCGCGCTTCGAGGACCGAACCTCTACTTCAGGATAAGGAGCAGTTGCTGCATTTGACGACGCTGAAAAGGAAGCAACGCTGCGGTGATTGGTGTTGCTCCATGTGGCAGAATGACGACAGATGGCTCCACGCCAAAAAAATGCATCAGGTAGTTTTGGTGATCGTCGTTTTCTTTTTCTTTTGTCCTTTTCTCGTGTTTTTCGTATGGCCTCTCTTTCTCTGCTTCATCTGTGAAGTACCAAGATGGAAACAGGAGATGTACCTCTCTCTGCCGCTTGACGTTGGCTTCCAGTTTCATTTCTACCCCACATAGCGTGAAGAGAGGATCGGAGGGCTCCAGTCTATCTGCCGTTGATTCAATTGGCTTGCGTGCCGTTGAGGTTAATACTGTTGGAGTTTACCTTTTGGAGGGCGAGTTAGCCTGTGGCCACGGGAATCGACCGCGTCAAGTGTTAGATCAGTACGGACAGATGAAGGTACACGCCGGCTAGAGAGATCTGAAGGCTTTAAATGTCAAGACAACAACAACAACAACAATTGCGCAGTTTGTTTCTTCTTCGGCGATTCTCTGTCACGCCCCGAGCCTTGCCATTGGGCTGCTGCGGAAGCACGGCACAGGTCAATGTACACTGAAGCGGTCGTCCACCATCGGGGATCCAACCTCGAACCAAGAGCTGCTGTATCTCAGTCATTAATGAACCGTCGCCTCCTGCTTGTTCGCAGCACTGCTGCTGCTGCTGTTGTTTTTTCTGAGCAATTGGATGCACACAGCATCATGACTTGGACCATCACCCGGCCTATGACTTCCTCAACCCGACCGAGTCACAGCCGCTGCAACGTCAACCAACGCAAGAGACGAACCCGCCCAGAGTGCAACAACGCATAGAAGCTAGGTTTGGCAACCCTTGGTGGCAAAATTATACCCCAGCTGCTCGACGGATCTCACATCCCTCGAAAACTCGCTCCCTACACCTCCCTCTGCTCGACCACCCCCAGCAACCAGGGCCGACAGCTACACTAACCACCAACGGCAATTTCGCGCCACTCGGAAGGACTAGATTCTGCGACGACATCAAGCTTGCCTACAAACCTCATCCGCCGGCCACCAGGAACACCGATTCGTACCGCGGCTACAACAAATCCCGCGTTTTCCCCTCCTCACGAACGGTGTTTTTTCTTGTTGCTTCCCCCCCCGGTTCGGCTGGTGCTGCCGCTTCCCGCCGACGCCCCTCCCCCCGCCCTCTGAACCGGCGTTGCGGAACCCCCTTGTTGCTGTTGTGGAATTGCTTGACCGGCCAGAGCATTGGACAGTAAGCTCGAGAAGGACAAGTTGGCTGTCGATTCTTGGACGGCTTTTTGTTGGTCCTTAATTTCCTAGTTGAACGGACGGGGGCGGTGGTAGGGTATGTCGGTTGGTGGGCCGAGCAGTTAACGAAGTCCGTTCCTATCTAGCTTCAGCTCCAGAGAACAACACACAACTGTCAGCAAAGGGAAACGCGCAAACGTGGGCGACACAACCAAGGCTAAGCTCCTCATGGAAATAACAAGATATGCGCTGCATCCTCCCCCACAGCACCAGCCTTACACCAACTCATACCAAATCTACCAAACACGTGCCACGCCCGGTAACACCGGTAACACTACCACAAGGAAATCAACCGTTCCCGTCTTCGAAAAGAACCCGGCGTAGTTGTGTAAGCGTGTCGTGACCATGAAGGGCGGTTTGATCTTTAGAGGCACGGCACAAATTGCATGTCACGGATGTGTGAGAGCCTCTCTCAAGCTTGGCTACAGCACAAGCCCAACGTGATGGAGATGCTTGACGGAAATTCACCTCCAGCTGCTCTGGATCAAGATTTGCCATCATCTTGGGGAGGAAGAACATCATCGCCATGGAGAGGACCATGATGATGGTCATCGGGCTCTTGAACATTCCGCCAACCTTCATTCCCTCCCGCTTTTCGAAATGGTTCCTGCGCGCCAGCGGCAGCAAGCACGAACGTACCGTAGGCGTCAAAATCAGCCACAGGGTGCAAACTTGGCGTCGACATAGACGTTAAAGACAACCCAGTATGCCAAGCGCGCTCGCCATCAGAAGCATCAAACATTACATATGACTCTCGAGCGAAACTGATTGTGGACACAACATCGCAGGAAAACGGTTCGCTTGTATTCCCGCCCAATCATCGCAACACCAAGATAACCATGTGGCCACGATATTTCGGCACGTCGAGACACTAAGACACAAAAGCTAAGGCCACATGCGTACCGAAAAGCTTACCCCTGCTGGAATAGCATCAGGAGCTTACCACTTGGTGTGTGCTGTGAGGAGGAGCGGGTGTATTGCCTCCTTCCGCGGCGCTCCGGGGTACTGCCTCGGTCGAAACCGCCCCAAGTCGCACGGGCACCAGAGGAGTGGCGTCGAGAGGAAGGTTAAGGCAGAAAGAGACACGCGCGAACGCGTCGAGAGGAGGTAGGTAGAGGTAGAAAGAGACACACGCCAACAGGCTAGAGGAGAGGGTCAGCCCGTAGTCTACACTTAAGAAACAGGGGGTCGTTTTGTGAACCAGTCGGGCAGAGGCATTACTTCCCATCCCGGCGCCGGTGGCGAAGCTCCGAGGCGGAAGTTTGAGCTGAACGTTTGTTGCGGTACGATACCACAACTTGTATCCCACGCGACCTTCGGAAAGCTGTTCCACTTTTCAAGACCTGTGTCATTGGGAATCTGTACTCACAACAACGAATACACACAAAATTTCGCTGCACCTTGTATTCAATGGCGATGATGCCCGTCATGTCGTCCACCTTGATCTTCATAGCGCTGAAGTGGAAGTTGGGGGACAGCACCTCCAGCAGGTAGACCCCGGCGGCAACGTCGCGGAAGGCGAAGGATCCGTCCCGGGCAGTCAAGCTGCTGTGCTGACCGCCGTTCAAAACCACCTGTTTGGTTGGGGTTGGATTCAACCCGTGGTAACTCGTCGGTGCAGGTATGCTTCGTGTCCCAAAACCAATTTGTACTGCTTTTAAGCGACACCGCTTTCGTGGGCACATCTTGGGTAGCTTTCCGGGTTTGAGCGAGGGCGTACCGATCAAGTCTGCTATGTATCATGTTCCTGTACCGTGGAGCCGCTTGAATCCAACGGAGGTCGCGGAAACCCAGGCAACCAAATCCAAGACTTTAATGTATACCACACACACGTAGATGTTGGACAGCAGTACACGTTATTTATTATCACAGCAGAATAGTACCAACCATCGGCTAGCTGCTAGGAGAAAGTCTGGACGATGTTTTGAAAATAAACTATCGGTTGTCGAGACTCAGCGTTCAATCCCATGCAATGCGAAACGCTACCTGAGGCAAGCTGGGCTTAGACCTGATTTGGCTTTAAAAGGACGGGCAGGTTGAGTGCTGTCCTGGGATATCAACTTAGGGCTGGTGAACGTCTTGCCAGTGTGTGCGTGATAAACGTTAGTTTCGGCCATGCACAAGATACAATTTCGATTCGTTTGCTACCTCACCTTTGTGGTAGGGACGACGGATCGATCAGGCATAGCCAAAGTCCCCAGAATTTCTTCAGCAGCGCATGCACTCCAACACCTTGTGCAGTGGAGCAAGCAGTAGGCAGCACCAGGTGGAAGGAAAAACAACAGCGGGAAGAAGACCGCCACAAATTTCATTTCAGGCTGAACTCCCGTGATATCCTTGGGGCTTTTCACTCTACGCTGGAACTTGTTGATATGTATGCGCAAGGTTGCTCGTCGGACTCCCTACCCTGCGCCACCTACCGTCAGTTACCTAATATACCACACCCCCTGGGTCTGTCTCTCCAAGTTCGAATACTCTTCGACGAAGAGGATGTCACATGCAGTCACTTGGTGATTTTCGGTACTTTTGAGCAGATGGTTCCAACACCTTCGTTTATTGGTACTATGCTGTTGTTCTGCAGTGTTACCGAGCTTTTCAATACAATCGGTGCAAGGGGATGTGGTATCTTGCGCAACGTCTGGCATAACAATGTAGCCAGAAAAAGGCATCATTAGTAGAGAGAACGACACCTCCGCTCGGTTGGCAAATGAGGGTGTTTGTAGCCTTATTCTATTGACAGGTCAATCAGCAACGCTTCATCTGACGTCGTGGAGGTGCACGCTGTGAACAGGCAGACAAGACAAATTGGTACTCCTGAACAAAAGCCCGTAGAAAGGGCCGGTTCCCTTCACAGCCCACAGCATTAGAAGGGGGCAACTGCTGTCGTTTCCCACAAATCTTGTTTGTTTTCCCCAATGGGCGCTGAAAGGTAGAGGTGGCAAGGCTAGCGAAGAGGAGAGGGACGATGATGAGCTACAAAATAAACGCAACATAGCAAGCAAATGTATCCTGTGAGTTTCAAAGCAGGCTTCTTTGTACCACAGCAGGCTACTGCTGCTGCTGTGTAGTTACTGCTGATGTTGTCGGAGAGAGCACTTCCCGGACGATGAGCGACGAGGGAGAACAGCAGTAGAAAATTTAATCCCCACATCAGCTCACATTGACCATGCCAGCCCTAATACCACGGTGGTCAATCCTTTCCATCGCGAGATCGTTTCCATGGCCGTATTTGCTCTCTTCCTTCTCTTTGATGGTGATGCTCTGTGTCAAGCACCAACCCAAATCGCCGGACCGCAGCGCCACACCACAGCAGTCCGGCCGCTCTTTCCATCTCCTTGCGGAGACCCTCTCGATATCACGGGGCCCCTCCCTCCCGTGCACTCGCTTGTCCTGTTTGTGCTCTACACTCTGCACGTGCCCATAACAAGCCAACTACACCACTAAGGGCAACGGCGCAAGGGAAACAACAGGGAAGAGACAGCCCTGGTATTCGTGGCTACGCGTTCGGGCCAGCAAAGGTAAGGGAAATGTAGTTTGTGTTTGTTGCTGTCATATGCATTTGCTATGCAGAAAACAAGCTAACCCTGCTGGCCTCCTGCACGTTTAGGAACATCACAAAAAGCAGCAATCACACAGACCACAGCGGATATGCGCACGACCCATGTATACCAGAGTTCCCCAGCGAGATGGAAGTTGAGGAAGACGAACGCGGTCTTTCTAGATTCAGGTTTGAAGCTAGTGTAGCCGTTGCTGCGCTGTTTGGTATTCAGTCAACTTCTGCTTCATGCGACGCTTGTACGCTTCTGCGGTATGCACAGAACGGAGATAAGTTTAGAGGTGATCTTTGTACATACAGCAATAGTGCCTGCAGTCCACCAGTACACGATAGTCGAAGACTAAGGCTCTGGTTGACACATCATTGACCTTTGACCAACAAATGCAAATACCAACTCATAACCGCAGTAATACCGTCGTAGACTGCTATGTAGACTTCTACCCTTATTTCGTCGCAGATTCGCTAATGTGTGAGTTTTTCCGAGACCTGCGTAGATCTCGTAGATGTTTGATTCCCTCAGCGCCTTGCTGCTGCTTCCGGTTCCGCTGCTGCTGCAACAGAGCTAACCACAAGGAGTAATCGAGTACAGCATGACATGTGTCAACGCGGCGACTCTCCTATTTCGCTTGTCTCCCGCATGAAGAGCGTCAGGCATGTGATTTGATCCGACGTTTTTCCCGACTATAGTTGAAGAACTTGGCGCATAGCTGCAACCAAATCTGCACCCCCGTGTCCATGTATCAATCTCCGTACTTCGCATGTACCGTGTGCTCCCTGGGCGGCAAAACAACACTACACAGCAGACTACCACCTGCTTCCCCTACACGACGCGGTCGCCCCCACCGGCCCCGGCATGGCGGAGACTGGGGCTGATGACGACGAGACGCTCGGCGCCTGGGCCCTGCGCTACCGCGGCGTCGCCACGTTCGGCGCGTTGGCGGTGCTTCTGGGCACCGGAAAGTTCGTGGGTTTCCACTGGCACCGGCTGGCGTTCCTGCGGCGGTTCGTCGTGCCCCCCGCAGTGATCTCGGGCCTGCTGGGCTGCGTGGTGTACCGGCTGTTCAAAGGGGTCATGTCGCCGGGAGTGAAGTCGTCACTCGACGAGAGCTTGAGCGAGGTGGGGGCATGCACGACAGCTTGACGCGTGGGCGGGCACCGGAGTTAGTGGTGGTGGAAACGCGTGTCGCGACGCCGCAGACCGAGCTGTCCTTTGGGACTCTGGAAGAAAGTAGCATTCGTGCCATGGTCTACAAAGTAGTTGGATGCGGTTTCTGTCAGTCTGTCAGTACGGATGATATTAGCTGATGGTGGATCGACCCCAGTTTTTGTGCTCCCCCCCCTCCGTCCGTCCACCCCCTGTCTTCGGCCAAGTGAAATAATCCGTAACTTGCTGGTTTTTTCATCCCCCCGTCCCCCCGAACAACCTATACATACCATAACTGCAGGTGGTGGTATTGATGATCAACTTCACCTTCTCCGCGCTCACCCTCGGCTTCGCAAGCGCGGGGACCTACGTCCCCAGGACCCGGGCGGTGCTGGCCTCCATCTGGCACGAGGCCCTGCCCATGCTGGTCTACAGCCAGGTCCTCATCTGGGGACAGTCGTGCGTGGCCCTGCTGACGGTCGGCCTCATCCGCCTGGGAAACCCTGACGTGTCGGTCTTCCTCGGCGCTCTGGTTACCATGGGCCTGGAGACGGGGCGCGACGTCATGTCGTTCTCGACGAGGGAGATTGCGGGGGAATGGGCTGACGAGGTGAGCCTGGGGTGGTGAAGAGATACGTGGGAGTCTCGATTGGTCGGGAAAGAGAGGGCAGGGGGGGGACCTGCGTTGCCTTTGGAATTCGACCTTGTGCCCCCTTTGGAGGCAGCAGTTTGTTCGGCCTATCGTCTTTTTCAGAAATACTCTGTTCGTCTGATCCAAGTTGTACGAGGATAGACTAAGTACGCATCTGATCCCTTTTTCTCCTTCGTTCTTGGGTACCACCTTGTGGGCCGGGGTTACCGATTAGAAACTAAGGCCGACGAGAAAAGAACCGGTGTAAGGATAGCTCTTGTGTCTCCCGTTTGCTGACCTTCTCTGTGCGATACGAAATAGTATGGGGGACACGGTTGGGTGTGGAAAACCTCCCCTACCTGATTCCAGCGGCGCAAACTTGTAAACAAGAAATAAAACCCACTCTTCGTCCCCGGTCCCCGGCCTTCGCCCCGAAGCCTTGGAAGTGTGTCCCCCCCTGTTTTTGTATCTAGTTCATCTGGCCTACCTCCCCCCCTCCTTTTTCTCTGGGCTTTGTGACGTGAAGGTGGTCCGTCTTGCCGACTCCTTGGGCTTGCTCCTGTCCGTGTTTGGAGGCATTTGCCTCATGACGATGCACATGGGAAGCTGGGGTCCGACCGGGGCAAGGTGAGGAAGGGGGGATTTGACTCGGAATCAGGGGTGTCGCGGAGGTGGAAGCAAAAGGATGGGGAGGGGGGGGGGGGGGGGGGGGGGTCCCCCCCTCCCTTTAGGGCTCCGATTTAATGCCTTACGGCCCCTCGCCCCCAAAAAACTGGATTAAAAAGATGGGGCAGGGGGGGGGGGATCGCCCTGATAGACAAATTTTTTTCCTTCCCCCTTGGAGC